AAGGATTAAGGAAGATTTTGGAACTTCTTGATGCGAAGAGTCCTTGATTAGAGCTCCGAATGTCCCATTATCCCACTTTAAAACCACCGAAGTTACGTCTTTTTGTTTTGGCAATATCGCCCACCGGAAATGCATCATAAGCTTAACTTAATCAGAACAAGATAAAATGTGGAACTAAATAGAAATTACAACGAATTGGAAAACTTTGATTCTCTTTTTACAAAACGGTAACAAGAAATCTTCAACCCCAGAATTGAAAGAAAGACTAAACTTCCAGTTCGATTCTTCAACTTAAGGAATCACTCAAAACAAAATGAATTTGTTAGCTTAAGCCATTTACGAGCAAAAAGTTACAGGAAAAATCTTTCTTGTTTGAACTATGCAGCATGTATTCTGCATTGGACTTCGATTGAACAAAGTACAACTATCAAATAAAATAACGAAGTATTAGTGAACCCAAGACAAGTCGTTGATATGGATGAATAGTTAGTTCTCCCCATAAAAGCAAAATACACTTGGACCCCGCCGCCTTGCGTCATTTGACTCACGTGCTTGAAACATTTCCCTTTTTCCCCAAAATGCTTTACAAATTATTTTAACATTTCATTTGGGATTAATTAACTAAATTATCCCTATCATTAAAATAGGAGTATCATTCTTCTAAGAAGTTCCCTCAATCTTCATCACGTATATAAAAGCCTTTAGTCATCGTTTAAACTTCAAACACAAACATTTTCTCTTCACCTAACTTACGTCTGCATTCAAATCTTGAACATGGATTCATCATTTATTCATTACCAAAACCCATATGATCAGAATTACTCACCCGAATCCTCTTCATGGGATGAGCTTCTTTTTCATTACAATTCTCTTCCCTTTAACGTTAATGACACCGAAGATATGTTCCTTTTTAATCTTGTCGCCGAGGGTGACCGTACTGTTGTTAAAGAATCATCGGCAGAAACAATAAACTCTTCCTCCAGCTCTGGCACAAAGGAAGAAGAAGTCACTTCCTGTGAACCCGAAAAGGAAAAGAATTACAGAGGTGTAAGGAAGAGGCCATGGGGTAAATTTGCTGCTGAAATAAGGGATTCAACGAGGAATGGTGTGAGGGTTTGGATAGGAACATTTGATAGTGCTGAAGCTGCTGCTTTGGCTTATGATCAAGCTGCATTTGCAATGAGGGGTTCATTGGCTATACTTAATTTTCCTGTAGAGATAGTGAAGGAGTCTTTAAGTGAAATGAAGTGTAAATTTGATGAGAGTTGTTCGCCAGTTATTGAGCTTAAGAAGAGACATTCTATGAGGAAAAAGACTCAGAGCAGAAGAAACAGAGTAAGAAAAGACGAGTCTAATGTTGTGGTGTTTGAAGATTTGGGTGCTGAGTATTTGGAGGAATTATTGAGTTCGTCGGAATGTGTTACAAATTGGTGATTATCTTTCTTTGTCTATTCCAGAATTTCTCAAAGTTGCACTACATCTCCCCTGTTCCTCAGCAGCAAAATGCTACTCTGCTCTGTATTTATCATCTTAAATTAGGCTTTCATTTGTTCTACTCTTTTTTCTTTTACCGGCCTTCATTTGTTGATGACTTAATTAATTTATGGTTCTTTTCAACAGCCAAAATGGCTAATGTTTCTTGTTCTAGTAAGTATTTTTCTTCTCCTTTTGTTTTTTTATCAACTCTAATCCAGTGAGTCAGTTTCTCTAGAAAAGTTCCATATATGCTTACTAGCAGCTGAAACTCTTATTGCAATTAGCATTGTATTAGTATTAATTTGAGAGGATTCTAAAACACTGATTTATTAAGGTAGTAGTAGTAGTAGTAGATTAACAGTGATTTCGACCTCATCAATTTTGTCTCACTGTCCTTTTGCCTCCTAAATATTATGGAAACCTACGGTTTCTCTCCCCCCCCCACCCCCCCCCAAAAAAAATGATCAGCTCATTAAAATCCTTATTTAGTTATTCATTTTTCAATCACAGTTATTGTGACCAACAGTATTTTCCTTATCGGTGAACATTTATCTAGCTTGCGGTTATTACTTGGGAAAATTATCCAAAAGTGAATATAAAGAAAAACGTTTTTCACTTGTACCACACAACTAACACAAGTCGGGTGAGGTTTCTTTTTATATCATAAACTAGTAGAATCAAATCTTAAATTTTTGAATTCACAAATTTTGGGTCCGCAAATTGGTGAAACATTAATAAGTTTCACATAACTTGCGTCAATTTTATCAGGCACGCAGTAAAAAATTTCACTTTTTTCATGTAGCTAACAAAGATATAGAGAAATGCTTATTAGGTACGTTTACAAATAGTTCTCAAAATCGATGGTCTTGAATTTTGTCCTCACTTGCTTTGCGGGCCAAGTTCAAGTTTAGCAAGAGTTGCTTTTCGTTTGTCCCATGTGCATTGTGCAACATATTTAGTTTTTGTTTGGACGTAAATTTGATTAAAATTTGAAAAAATATTTTTGAAGTTATGTGTTGGACATGTATTTTATTTGAATAAAAGTTAAAATTTTATGAGTACAAAGAAAAAATTTTATGAGTTGAAAAATTTTCAGTTTTTTTTTTAAAAATAAAGACAATCTCTAGTCAAACGAGAGCTTAACTTTTGTCTGCAATTTTTTGAGTTACAAAAGGCCGCTAATTTAATACACTTGACATTACAATTAAAATCTTGAACAAGAATTATATCCTCTAGGACGAATTGCTTTTCTTATCTCTTCATGAATTAAGAGTGAGTTATAAGAATTGACTCGTCATTTTATTTCTTCAATAGTATATGAAATCACCACAAGTGGATTATCCTAACGTGACACATAACTTGCAGGTTTACAATTTGAAAGCATTATATTATCAATTCACCATTACATCTTGAATATTAGCAGAGGCACAATTTAAAATTTCCAAAAGGCAATATTTGAAATTGGTGTTAGGAGGAGGTAATGAGAAGAAAGCGAAACGCTGAAAGCACACACGACAAGAAAAGCACTGAGGTCTGAGGGATTTGTGGTGAAGACCGTACCAATGTTTCAGTGTCTGCCACACCATTTCACTTTGCCTGCAAACTGCGAACCAAAGACAAATTGGGTGTACGAATATAACGTCTCGTAGTGATAGCCTCCTCTATTACTCCTTGTTTTTTTTCACTAATATAGCACTGCATTACTGGATAACAAAGAAAACTGCATCCTCTGTGCACAAAGTTTCTTTTATCTTACTGTTTTTATTTATTTAGTCGTTTCCAAATGTCGTTCTCTTATAAGTTCTAGCTTGATTTTATAACTATGGAAAATTATGCAATGGTTAATAAGTAACGTAGAAAACTTTTGTCCCCTAGTAACCCTCTCTTTTTTCTTTTCCCTAGTGAGAAAAATCTAATTAGGCAAGTAATTAGAAGGCCAATTCAGTGACGGAGCCAGGATTTGAAACTTATGGGTTCAGTATTCTAATTCTTTTAAGTTACTGGGTTCTAAGTTAATAATTTGTACATAATTCAATAAATTTGTAAGACAAATACAAAGTTTGGACTAAAGTTACTGGGTTCAGCCGAACCCGTATCGAAAGGGCTAGCTCCGCCCCTGGGCCAATTGGATTTTTTTTAATTCAACTCCCACCATTATGGTGTAGGGTTAAGGCCTGACCCCTTACCTGTGTATAATCAAAATCGAAAAAGTGAACATATGTATGAGGGGGACATGGTGCCTTGCCTCCTCTATTACATATTGTAGGTTGGTACTATCTAACTTAATCTGTCCATGAAACTTATACAAAAGACATATTACAAGTTCTACTGAAATCAGTTAGATAATTAGAAGATGAACCAAGTTCCTGGCCACAATGTGCTCTAATGAACATAATTACAAAAATGATTACAAAATTAGTCATGATTAGGATGAGAGAATTTCGTGACTTGTCTGATTCTAAAGCATGTGAGCTGGGATTTCTCCATTCTAAATGCTCCTCTAGCCTAAGGTGGAAGATCTTTAACCTGAGAATATACTTTAGCATTCAAAATGTTATGTAGGCTAGCTCCATGTTTGGATAATGCATCAGCAGACTCATTCCCCTCTCTGTAACAATGCTGGATAGCAATATTCTAAGACTGAATGATTTGCCTCATATATTGTAATGTCATCTTCCAATTCCCAAAGAGAGTCCATCTCCAATATAATGTTATTGATGCCTTGAGTTTTACACCAGTTTAAAGCATAGTAGGCCGCTTGAGTTTCTGATTGATTGTTAGTACAGAATTGTAGGGCTTTGGCAAAAGCCATAACAAGCTCTCCATTTCTATTTCGAACAATCCCTTATATTCCGGCTTTCTTGATGCTACTATTGCTTCTTCCATCGGTATTGATCTTGAGCCATCCATCAGGTGGTTTATCCCATGTTACTGCTCTGCTACACGGGTTGGGTCTATATCCTTCTATCTTTTGGCACAATTGACTCCAGGACCATGTCATGTCCACTTCAACACCATTCTTCTTCATAAATACCTTCAAATGAAAAAGAACAGAGTGTCTTAGTTTGGAAATTGAGGTTCTAAAGTTACTATACCTGATTGAGCATCTATGTTTCCATATTGACAAAGATCAAACTTAAATTACTTTTAGTTTAAATTATGATCTTTTGACTATTGAACATCTAATTAGTGATATGAATGAATATAGTAACAAATTCCCAATGTCCTGTCTGTTATACAAAATGTACATAAGAAATTCCTAAAAGGAAATACTGGAGATTTCTGAGGACTGTATGCTCTCTTCACAAACCAAGGACAAATTTGTACGATTGATCTTTCACCAATATAGCAATACCTGCTCACTAGGACAAAAAAGGACTGCAACCTTTCAAGAATAAAACAAAACACGGTAAAGATAAAATATGCTGGTCTCCTAGGACAACCTGATAGCAACATAAAACCTTTTGTAGTACTCCTATTTCCTTAAACTTCACTTCCTGCTTCTTTCGTGTGTCCATATCCTCTCTTCTTTTTCATTTCTCCACAAACCCTCATATGATGGAGTTAGCAACTAAAGATCATTTCCATGGAATAGGAAAAACACAATGCTTGATCGGAAACATTTTCTCAGACAGAATTTTTGATACCAGATACGTGGAGTGCATGGTTCAAAGAATATGGTACTGTGAGGTTAGAGTGACGAGAATCAGAGGCAACATGTTTGAGTTTTATTTCGAAAAAGGTGATGATTGTTACAGAGTTCTTCGGGCTGCTCCTTGGACAGTCCAAGGCGGATGTCTTCTCATTCTTTCTCCTTTGTTCTCTGATAATATACCTTCTGAGTTAATGTTCTGGGTTCAGGTTCACGGCTTACCAACTCACTACTTCACTGATCAAAACGCTTTCAAGATTGGTCAATATTTGGGGAAATATTTGTATGTTGACAAGGGTGTTTGGAGCAATAAGTTTCTACGGATTCGGGTGAGGTTTGACATCACAAATCCATTGGTCTCTGGATTTTGGCTTAACTCTAGCTGGATTCGTTTCAAGTACGAAGGATTGAGCCAGTTTTGCTACAAATGTGGTCGTATTGGACATCACGAGAGCACATGTAAATTCCCACCACCACCAGGGAATGAACGGTTTGGCCCTTGGTTACGTGTTGAATCTTTGAGTCTGCTTAAGCCTACTAAAACAGAGGACTCCATTACTGTTGTCCAGAATCATTCGCCAAAGTTCAAACTGATTCCTTCACCAAAGCTCCAGGAATGGCAAAAAATATCACCTGATCAACACCTAGACAATCTTGAGACTACCCCACAAAAGTATGCTTTAACTTGTTCTGTTTTTTCTAAGTATATTTAAAATTATATACTACTAGAGTACTACTAATTTTGTGTGTATGTGTAAACAGGAACGATTGGGCAAGGTTGACGATGAACGGGGTAGATTCGATGATAATGATGGTCAACTGCGTAGTAATAACTCGCCGAGTAGCAGAGGCTAATGAAGTGAAGGGATATGGATTGTTGATTCTGATGATGGTTGCTTATTTCTTCTACTTGGTAATCAAGTTTAATGTTATTATAGTCCAGAGATCTTCTTTCTTCCAAAAATCTGTTGGTACTAAAGGAAACTCCATGGCAGAGTATAGTCCAGTAACTCAGCTTAAGGACTTGTTCATCTTGCTCATGTTTTGCGTTACATTTCTTAAGTTTTGTTGATTGTCCGCAGTTCATTTATTTTTTCAGTTGATTGTCTGCTCTTTTCGGACACTAATATAGGAGCTCAGTGGTAGTATATGTTTTGCAAAAAATTGACAGACACGTAGCCTGCTTAGACGGTTAACCATGTTGCAGTGAAACTCTAACAACTCCCTTTTTGTTATGGACCTTACATAATTTTTCTCTTGTTTTTTTACCAGTATGTATCTTTGCTTTCATATTTCTCTTAACAATTTTATCATTCTTTTACTAAGTACTCCCACTTGGCAAAATAAATTCAACAAGTATGAATAGTGAGTCAAACTTTGAAATAAAAAAGAAATTAAAGAGACAAAAGTGCCATCTGCATTTTTGGAAACTATAAGCTTTAGTGCTTTACCTGTAGCACAATACAATAGATCTTTTATTGGATAATCAGAAATACAAAGGAATTTGGTTACAACTTTATTCTTATAAGTATAACTATATATATATATCAGTCCATAGGACTCTCATTCCCAGCATTAGGCATGAACATAGGGTAAAGGAATCAGGTACAAATTGTTTTTCCTTTCAAGAGCATTGCCAAATTTCTCAGTCATGTCTAGTTCATGTGGATTCATTCCATTGGGAAGCTTCCAATCAAAATGGTAGAGTAATAGTGCTAGACTAAGCTCCACAGTTGCCATTGAAAATGATATTCCAGGGCAAATTCTTCTTCCTGTGCCAAATGGCGTAAACTCGAAATGAGCTCCAGTAAAATCAAGGTGACTTTCATTAAATCTCTCTGGATCAAATGTTTCAGGATTTGACCAATAATTTGGATCCCTAGAAATTGCCCAAAAATTCACAAGGGCCATTGTGCCTTTTGGTATAACATAGCCATTAATCTCACACTCTTCCCTTGATTCTCTAGGTGCTAATAGTGGAGCTAAAGGATGAAACCTTACTGTCTCCTTAACTACCATTTTTAGGTACTTAAGTTTCTGAATATCAGTTTGATCAATTCCCTCTAATTTCCCTTTGAAAACTTCTCTCACTTCATCTTGTGCTTTTTTCATTATTTTGGGATTTTTCATTAGTTCTGAGAAAGCCCATTCCATTGTTGATGCTGAAGTTGTAGATCCTCCTGCAAACAAGTCCTGCATATCCAACTTAACTATTAGTAGCAGAACTAATTTAGAACTATAAAGAATTTAAATTCACTAAGACTAAATTAAGAAATTAGGAATTATAAGGTTCAACAACTACTATTGTTACTACGCATCAATCCCAAATAAGTTGGGATCGGCAATATGAATTCCCATGTCCATGTCGCTCCATTTGAGCTCATCTCAATCCAATATTATATGAAATAAAGGTTTATATGGTTAGTCAAGTCAACAAAAAGTACAACACAAGTCAAAATAATGAATTTGCAGATTTGATTTACTAAGCAAAAGGAAAGAAGCTACAAAGAGAGAAGATCCAACTTACAATGATTATAGCCTTAATATTATCCCTTGTGATAGGAATTGAAAAATCTTGACTCTTTTGAAGCCTTAGGAGAACATCAACTATATCTTCTTCTGTGGGATCACCATTAGTACTCCCATTATGGGATTCATGTTCATTGATAATTTCTTCTAAAAGAACATCAACCTCGTCGTGCATTTTACGTAGTTTGTATTTTAATCCACTCAAAAAATGAATTATCTTCACTGAGGGAAAAAGATCGGCAAGATCAAATACTCCAGCTGAACCAGCCACTGTTCTCATTATATCAATCAAAGAGCCCTGATTTTTACAAGCCCTGCCTACACTTGCTTTGCAAATAACCGAATTCGTATACAACGACAACGTTTCAGTTAAGTTGATTGGACTGCCTCCAGTAGCAGAATCAGCTTTAATTGAGCTAACAAGATTGGATATCTCATTAAACATCTTGGGATAAAATGACTGAATATTTTTATGACTAAGGAGTTCCTGAATACAAATTTTGCGCATTTGTCTCCAGAAATCACCATAGTTACAAAATCCCATGTCAGCATGATCATAAAACATTTCCTTTCCAACCAAAAGCACCGGTCGATTAGTGAAATTGAGATCATGTTTTCTCATCACTTCTCTAACCATTTGAGGTGATGAAACAACAATGGCTGAACGTTCGCCGAGTTTCATGTGCATTAAAGGTCCATGTTTTGAGGCTAATTTGGCAAGAGTACGATGTGGTAGTAACTCAGATGATTTCCAGTCGACAAGTTGGTGTATGTTTCCTATGAATGGGAGCTTCATAGGCCCTGGAGGCAATTTTCTTCTATTATTACACTCTTTGAACCATTTAGTGACAAGTAAGGGCAAAAGGAGAAGCAAAGCGCCAAGAAGAAAAGATAGTTCCATTTCCATATGGTGTATTCAAGAAATCTTAAATGAGATTGGCTATGTTTATGGATTAAAATATGCCACCTATTTATACAAGAGTAATCATTCGTGATTGAATAAAACTCTTAGAAGGATCTTCTAATAGATCATTCTGTATGAATAGTACTGTATATTATAATGAGAGGCCCGTCAATCGTCATATTAAGACATGTTGAACCTGGTGTGCGGCCAACATCGTGAGAAAAATTTAGTTTAGATGGAGAGAAAAGGGGCATGTTTAGATGAAATAACGTCAATCAAATCAGGAGTTTTCCTGCACCTTGGGCAGTTGGGCTTCACTGGTCAACATGGCTAGTCTAGGAAAGTGTCTCTAGGGAAGGCATGCTAATTGACAAAAAGGTATACATCTAATTGGTATAGTAATGATTAAGGGTTAATTTTACTGATAATCATCCAACTTATCATTTCACAAAAGTCACTTATTTATTTTTCATCACTTAAAAGTCACTCAACTTTACTTTTGTAACTTAAAAGTCATTCTAGTTCAAAACCTATAAAATATCCTATAAAAATATGACATGACATTAAATTTAATTAAAAACTCTAATTATAGTGATACATAAGCTTAAATGGACCATACCTAATTTAGACCCATTTCATCCGCAATATGATTTGACCCATAACCCAAATGGGTTTTACTATTTTGAACATTAGACATGGCATGGATCTATAAAATATCTAATAAAAAATATGACACGACATTACATTTAATTAAAAAATTTAACAATAATGTCACATAAGCTTAAATAGACCACATCTAAGTTAGACCCATTTCTTTCCGATTTGACCTATAACCAAAATGAGTTATATTATTTGAACAATTAACTAGACTAACACTTTGATTTTGTGGTTAATTTGTAGAAAAAGAAGTCTAAGAAATTTAAGAAAAATTAGGTCTTTTGAATTTATCTTTAAGTTTTGGTTGTACATTTACGGTCAATGACACAATACATTATCTCTTTCTTTTGTCCAAGCTATTGCTATAGGTTGTCTACGATTGCGGTGTGTATTGACAACTTCTACTATGCAATTTCATTGTGGGTGTTTCTTACTGAGCAGTATTTTTGTGTGTTAGTATTGCTTAATAAGCAATATTTTGATTTTAATGGAATAGTAATTTGTGAAAATAGGTTCTTATTAGCTTGTTGTTCTTGTCTCTTAGTGGTACATTTATATGTTATGTGAGATTGATATGGTAGTAGTTTAACTTCATGAAAAATTATAAAATGATGTGAAGGATGCAAAAACTGGTTCTGTGCTAGTTCTGTTCATATTTTTAATGAAATTATAGGTGGTGACATTAAGGTTATTACGTAACAAATAAAGTAAGATATTTTTAGTACAAAATAATTGTTCTCTTCTTTTCCTTCTAATGTTCAAAATATTAAAACCCATTTGGGTTATGGGTCAAATCAAATTGTGGATGAAATGGATCTAAATTGGGTATGGTCCATCTAAGCTTATGTGGCACTATAATTAGATTTTTTAATTAAATTTAATTCCATGTCATATTTTTATAGGATATTTTATAGGTTTTAAACTAGAATGATTTTTAAGTTACAAAGGTAAAGTTGAGTGACTTTTAAGTGATGAAAAATAGATAAGTGACTTTTGTGAAATAAATGATAAGTTGGATGACCATTAGTGAAATTAACTCTAATGATTAAGTGATCAATTAAAGTGAAAGTATGCTTTAATTTTTATCTTTTAGCAAGATTGTGAGTGTGTTAACTGTGTAAGAAAAATGAGTGGATAATCTTGACCAAGAACAAGAAGGAAAAATACTTTGTCGTGGCAAGCCACTGCTTTAAAAGCGATTTCGGCCCGACTGGTTGCAAATCGTTAAGACCGGTCGCTCCCCAAGGTTCCACAGCACCTCCAAACACGTGCACTCATGGCTGGAAGTTTGGAATTTGCACAAAATAATTGCCCAGAAATCGGTTGAAGAAGAAGAGAAGATGAAGGTGGTTTTTTTTGTGTTTGAAAACTCCACAAGACAGCTCCTAATATAGATAAGATGCTAGAGTTGTTACAAGAAGGAGAATTAAATTGGAGGTTATGGAAATAAAAGAGTTGTTACAGAATTCAAGTAGGAGTTATAAGAATTCAAGTAGGAGTTATAAGAATTCAAGTAGTAGTTACCACAAATTAAAGTATAGCTGTTACAAAGTAATAAATCAGACGTTACAAAATTCAATTCAAAGATAATGAATTTTGGTAAGCATGTATTTGGACACTTTTCTAGTAAGCTCAAAAAATGAAAAATAATTTTAGCAAAATCAGATTTGGATTAGGCCTCACGTATATCTCGAGCGTATGGGGGCAAATCGACCCAGTTTGCCTTCAGGACCAATTTTTCATGTGCGCGAGACCACTCCCTTTTACTAGCTCTTTACAAGCCCAACAAAGAGCAATTCAAAATAGGGAAAAGAAAAAGACTTTTCACAACCAATGAGGGACACTTTGTCTTTCACAAAAGACAAAGAAGTAAAGAAGAAAAAAAGGGCCACAAAGAAATTTTTGACTTTGCATTATCAAGTATAATAATACCAACAATCCCTCACTAATGCAAAGACAAAAATAGAACAATTCTGGGCAAAAGAAGGAACATATACTTAAGTGTCAATATATTTCGATTTGAATTGACACATAGTGTAATGAGGCAACAACTAACACCCACAAAGTAAAGTACTCTTGAATTGAATGAATATT